AAATAATATATTATTTTTTCTTAAATCACAATTTCATTTGGGTAAGTTAAAAAAATTCAATTCAATTCAATTACCAAACAATAACCAAGATAAAAGGATAAAACAAAACATTAACCTTAAAAACGCTATACATTAATAATATTTTAGGAATATTAGTTTCTTCTAATGATCTGAAAGGATAATAACAAATAAACAATGTTATTTATAAAGAAAAAAAAACTAAAATTTGACATGACTTTTTAAATGATTCACTGTGAAACTAAAAAGTAATAGCATTTAGTACTTACTACATSAATGTTTACAAATGCTATTTCCCACAATATATAACAGATACAACACAAACTTAATATATACTATTTTACATAATTAAATGAATAATATTTTATCTCAATTTGGTACCTATAACTATAAAAATGTTTGTAGTTTATTATTTTAATCAAAGTTTACTTACTTCAAATTGTAAAAAATTCATAATCTAATAAACCATTCCAAATTTTTATTATATTCATATAGGCACAATTTAATGGTAAACATATAAAATATTTCTATCTAAAAAAATATAAATTAAAATAACTTTTTTTAAACATTAATTAAATCAAATAGGAATGTTTCATTCCTTTATATAATKAAGCATTTAAATTGATTTTACTTACAAATTTAAAAAAAGTAATGAAGCCTGTTATAAAACRATTCTTAGTTAGACTTTTAATATTACAAGATGTTAATTACAATTATTTTTTAATTACTAATGCAAATCAATTGAAACTTAAAAGACTTGGAATGGCAATTTAAAATTTGCAAATTTYRTGAAAAAATTATAAAACATTAATTTTTAATTGTATTAGAACTTTTGAGGAAGAATGCACACAAACATTTTAACTGGAAAACTCTTGTCACTTGCATAAACAGGGCAAGTAGAATAACAGATTGCTACCCATCGAGACATTTTCAAGATTTAAACCGTCAGACAGAAAATCTCTAGGATTACAACCACACAATAACAGTAGAAAAATATAGATATTATACTAATTGATAAATAAGTATTAGGAATTCGAAAACAAAATCCGCCATCTGAAGTAGGTAATGTAGTGAAATCAAATCAAATGGGGAAAAATGTCCGCCCCGCAAAGGAAGAACAAGCGACGGCGGCGGCGCTGATTATTCGTTCATCCCTTTGWCGATTATTGCGACCAACATTCCGACAAYAATTCTTGGCAAAATGTAGTGAAGTACAATACAGTTATTCGTTATTAATATAATTAGCTGTCACTTTTGCATGCAAAGATGATATGATGGTATATACTCACGTTTCAAAGTTATATTTTGGTGAATCGTGTGGGTGGCGTACACTATATAGCTTGTAGTCCTGCAGCARCGACAAGAATGTGAAAACTTTTGAATTAAAGAAACCGGCACTTGTTTGTTACGTGACTAAATGTAAACCTGACGCGGAGTAGTCGTCAACGTGGTCTACGTAGACTACGAGGGGGGGAAAAACAAAAAGAACAACTAATAACAATAAATGACAAAACGCTCACACAGCAGCCATGTCATCAGCAGCTAGCGGAGTAAGAAGTCGGAGTAGACGAGTAGAGCGAGAGCCATTGAGTACCGCTGAAATGGTGGAAAACGATAATATGTAAACAAAATGGATGACAGACCCGGACGCGACGATGCGACGTTGCCGGTGTCAGTGTCGTACCGTATGGAAACAAAACGACCGGCGTGCCAAGCAACGTCGCGCGAGATATTTCAAAATAACAACAACTACCTGTTTAGTTGTTTACTTTACTTTTTTATCTACTACCTCACTGCCTGCTGCTGCGAATCCAGATGCACAATTTACTTTTACATGGTACATTTGCGTTAAATTATCATTTGATAGATAAATTATATAATAACTTTACTATAGTATTTACTTGTTAGTATACTTCAATAATCAATAACCACAAAATAGAATGCTATTGTACGATTCGATTGATATGATCTATATTCTATAAAGTATAAGCCCAAAACCGTGTTTATTAAATTAAATGTACGAGTCACGAAAATAAAATACACATTACGGTAATTGTCGTTCTGCCTCTTGAGTTATTATATTACAGAACATAAGACATTAACATAATATAAAATAGAATAATAGAATAAGGTAATATATATAGTATATCATGTGTGGTGGTGTAATCTACATGGAAAAGTTATAAACATTTTTAATAGTATGTACCTACTGTATATGACGTAATTTGAACTGATTTCTAAATAAATAATATAATGAATTACCATATTATCGTAAAATCGAATGCATATAAATTACTAAACTCAATACCACYAAATGTATACAGCATAGAGTAAGAATACAGTCAGTTAGAGGTTGTGTACAATATTTACCTCGGACAATAACTAGTCAGTAGTCATGACTTCTAATCTATTCAAGTCGTTTAGTAGCATACCAGAGCCAAAAAGATGGCCTCTACTGGGTCACACATATTTGTTCATCCCAAAAATTGGTAGGCATTGTTTATATTGGTTTTTAGCTTTATTGGATCCTAGATAAATTTAATTTTTTTTTAAATAAAAAAGGTCCTTACAACTCTCAACGTCTGACAGAAGCAATGGGTGACATAGAACGTATGTTGGGCCCAGTGTTTAAACTGATTTTGGGTGGCACAACAATGGTCGTTGTCACAAGAGTGGAAGATGCCAAAACAATGTTTGCCCATGAAGGCAAGCACCCAGMAAGACCCATATTTCCGGCATTAAACCTACTYAGAAAAAAACCATTTGGCACTGGAGGATTAGTATCTGAGTAAGAATAATAAACTATATAACATTATGATGAATTTAAAATTTATAATGGTAATAAAATATTGGTTTTTAATTACCTTCTCAATTTTTATTAAATGGCGTTTGGTTACCATATTTGTAAAATAAAAAATTCATATTTTTAAACTACTAGCTAATTAACTTATAAGTTTTAATAATTTATCATGTTATATA